AATCACCCACTGAGGTTTATATGACATAAAACAAAACAAAAAAAAACAATAAACAAACAAACAACCGGCCATTAGTTCTCTTTCAAATATTGATGCAGGGGTTTCCTTACTAATCTTTTGTATGAAGTTCTGTGGAAGATCAACATCTTGATTATGTCATTTTCTCTTCGAGTTAAATGTGTTATCCATTTTAGATGTAGCTGATGTTTAAAAGTCTTCAAGTGATTTGGTTTCTATTATTTGGTACATTTCTTTGTGATTCTGTAGTGACAGTCCTCAAGGTTTCAAGAACGGTGGTCATCACTACGATCTTAATTTGCTAAAGGCTTTATTAGTTCGAAAACATTTTTAACGATTGATCTGAGCAAGGGTTTGTATACAGCTTACAGTTTACATATACCTAAACGAGTTTGGGGCCAAGCATTACATGCATTTGAAAATCTCTATCTGAAAAGATTATTTAAGAACACGACTCGGGTTTGGTGTTGTCAGAGCTGAAATTTGTCTTTGTGGCAAGGAAACAATTTCAATATTTTATTAGGTTGGTGCAAAAATAATGACGTAAGAATGTCGTTTTTTTTTGACGTTAAAAATACGTCAAAAAACGACATTATTACGTCATTATTTTTGCACGAACCTAATAGTTTCTATTATATGATTTTATGATAATGTAGTTTTTGCTTTTCTTCCCATTTGAGCTCAGAGTTCCGATTTTCCAGGGATATTGAGGAAAAGAAGAAGAACGGTAAGAGGGAGAGAGGAGAAAATGAAAGGGAGAAGAAAAAGGAGGAGATTGAAGAAGAAGTAGGAGGAAGAGGTGGAGGAGGAGAAGAAGAAGAACGGTGAGAGGGAGAGAAGAGAAAATGAGGTGGAGAAAAAAAGGAGGAGATTGAAGAAGAAGTAGGAGGAAGAGGTGGAGGAGGAGGAGAAGAAGAAGAACGGTAAGAGGGAGAGAGGAGAAAATGAAAAGGAGAAGAAAAAGGAGGAGATTGAAGAAGAAGTAGGAGGAAGAGGTGGAGGAGGAGGAGAAGAAGAACGGTGAGAACGAGTAAATGAGGTGGAGAAAAAAAGGAGGAGATTGAAGAAGAAGTAGGAGGGAAGAGGTGGAGGAGGAGGAGAAGAAGAAGAACGGTAAGAGGGAGAGAGGAGAAAATGAAGGGGAGAAGAAAAAGGAGGAGATTGAAGAAGAAGTAGGAGGAAGAGGTGGAGGAGGAGGAGAAGAAGAACGGTAAGAGGGAGAGAAGAGAAAATGAGGTGGAGAAAAAAAGGAGGAGATTGAAGAAGAAGTAGGAGGAAGAGGTGGAGGAGGAGGAGAAGAAGAAGAACGGTAAGAGGGAGAGAAGAGAAAATGAAGGGGAGAAGAAAAAGGAGGAGGTAGATGATGATGATGAACGAATTGGAGGAAAGCAGAGGATAAAATAGAAGAAGAGGAAGAGGGAAGGCGGAAGAAAAGAAACCTAGCGTCTCGGATTGAGGAATCGGAGAGCCGAGTTCGAATTCCACTCGAATCCATTACATTCACTGACGTGCTAAAACCCTTGGCAGATGTTTGAATCCTGTTCTTCTTCCCCCAGCTATGACTGACGAGGCAGATTTTTCCCGTAGTAGATTGTTTAGCTTTTTCTCGCTCGATTGTTTATGGCTGTACAGGTTTACGCAACGAATATAACGTTACTAACACTGGATAGAGGCCCGGATTGAGTAATCGGAGATCCGAGTTCGAATTACAGTCGAATCCATTATATTCACTTACGTTGTAATACCTTGGGAAAGGTATGAATCCTTTTCTTCTCCCCCATCAATGGGTAAATAGCAGGACAGGACGGGTTTCTATAGACTGGGATGGCAACTGGTCTCCCGCAGAAAGAAATGGCAACCTACTGAAGGAAAAAATCTGCCTCGTCAGTCATGTATTGAAAGATATATGATCATCTAAGTGTGTATCACGCATAGCACATAACATACTAACTGACCTTTGGGAAAGGTATGAATCCTCTTCTTCTTTCCCCAGCTATGGGTAAATAGCAGGACAGACCGGGTTCTATAGCCTTGGATGTCAACTGGTCTGCCGCAGAAAGAAATGGCAACCTACTACGAGAAAAATCTGCCTCGTCAGTCATGTATCGAAAGATACATGATCGCCTATTCGTGTATCACGTATGGCACATAACTTACTGACTGACGTGCTAATAGCCTTGGGAAAGGTATGAATCCTTTTCTTCTCCCTTCTATGGGTAAATAGCAGGACAGACCTGCCTCAATAGCCTTGGTCTACCACAGAAAGAAATGGCAACCGACATCAGGAACAAAATCTGCCTCGTCAGTCATGTATCGAAAGATAGATGATCGCTTAAGCGTGTATCACGCATGGCACATAACTGTCTCCGTTCTATTTTTCTACCTCATCTAGTTGTTTCTTTCTTCTATCAATTTTCTCTAATGAGGATTCTCGCCCCATGAGGATATGTTTCCATTTTTTTTTTTTTTGTTTTGTTTTTTTTTTGCGTCTAGGTATTCTTGGAATGGTATCACGTGCATCAGCTAACGAAGATACGATTGATTACATCATTTGATTGATCGAGATTGTTTGGGTCAGGATTTAAGAACATCTAGTTTAACACAGGACTTTCATTTTTAAGGGCATTGATGCTATAACTATGTGTCTCTTGTGATGTGCACGCGCGTGTGTGCGTGAAGATAGTTAATCTGTCGGCTGGGGTTTTGTTTTCTTACGAGGAGTCTGTGATAAAGTTGCATATTACAACAATAACGGTCCCAAACTCTTGATATGCTGAAAATCAAAGTTCTGTTTGGTTACGTAACTGGAAATACCACTATCAAACAAGTACACAACTTTAAATATCTCGGAAGGGTTATAAAAGAGGACGAAAAGTGCGACACTAACAAACGGAAGTGCTCTGGAATAGCCGAAGATGCTTTCCAAAAGCTAAGCAGAGTATTAAGAAAAATAAAAAAAAAAGTTAGAAACAAAGAAAAGTGTACTGAACTCTTATGTCATATCAGTTCTCCTATATGACAGTGACGAAGAAAGAGGCTTGAAGCAGCAGAAATGGGGTTCTACAGAAGGATGCTGAGGATATCATGGACCTAACACGTGAGTAACGAAAAAGTTTTATAGAAAATAGAATAAAAAAGGATACTTCTACGTAACCTCAAATAGAAACAGTTGACATTTCTAGAGCACATAATGTTGAAAGAAGGTTTGGAAAATCTGATACTCACAGGACGGATTTAAGGTAAGAGGGACAATGGGAAACAATGCATAACCTGCTTAGTGAGCTTGAGTAAATGCATAGCGGAAGAAGGTTTAGGAGAAATAGCAATAAGATAAAATTTATTAAGAGTGACTAAGGACAAGAAATTGTGGAGAGCCTTAATCGTCTACGTCTTGAAGGGACACAGCACATAAAGAAACATTCTGGGTTATGTCACTGTGATCTTGTTTTTCATGGTTTGGTCGGCACATGTATTTAAGACAGAAGGCATCTCCCGCTATTTCAAAGCATCGACTTATTTCCCGCCCTGGGTAAGACGATAAACTACATCCGCGTCCTGGGGAAGACGATAAACTACATCCGCGTCGTGGGGAAGACGATAACGTACATCCGTGTCCTGGGGATGACGAAGAACTACGTTCGACAGCAAAGCCTATGACCAAGGGATTTTGAGGAGCATGGAACCACCTCTTAATTGCTGGTGTTCCCAGTGGTAGCACCTGTTAGGGTCCCAGCTATGGGCAAATATTTAACCCCCAAACTGGGGTCAAAACACTATGAAAGTGTAAAAATAGGTTTTAATGCAGCAATAAGTTTTTGTAAAAAAAAAATTACTATTAATAATTTTTTAAGAAAAAATTACCAGCAATACATTAATATCAATACATTTTTTGAAAACATATATATTACCAGCAATAAAAATCTTGTCGACATTAAATAAACCAATTGAGGTTGATATGCCGTAAAACAAACCAAACCAAACCAATCTATACTGAAATAGATAGATAAACCAAAAAAATATTACCAAAAAATCCAATAAATAAAACCCATTGAGATAGATAAATAATATATACTGAGATAGATAGATAGATAGATAGATAGATAGATAGATAGATAGATAAATAATAATAAATACCAGCAATAAAAATCTTGTCGACATTAAATAAACCCATTGAGGTTGATATGCCGTAAAACAAACCAAATCAAACCAATATATACTGAGATAGATAGATAGATAGATAGATAGATAGATAAAAAATATTACCAGCAATAAAAATCTTGTCACCATTAAATAAACCCACTGAGGTTGATATGCCGTAAAACATAACAAACTAATATGTACTGAGATAGATAGATAGATAGATAGATAGATAGATAGATATAGATAAAAAATCTTGATAAATAAACCCATTGAGATATGATAGATAGATAGATAGATAGATAGATAGATAGATAGATAGATAAAAAATATTACCAGCAATAAAAATCTTGTCGCCATTAAATAAACCCAATCAGGTTGATGTGCCGTAAATCATAACCAACTAAATAAACTAAAGCGATTTGTTTCTGTGTTACCTTTTCCGCCATTTTTAAAACATGTCTCTGATAGTCAACATCCTGTATCTGGTTGATGGCCAATTTTTAACTTGCAACTTCAACTCTCCTTCTTTTTAATGGCTATACATTTTGTTTCTTACAGTTGATTAGTCTTTTTTTGCAAGAAAATACGAGCTACCGAGAAAAGCAGTGTTCAAAACCCTGAGCTCGAATACCGATTTCTGGCAGCCTTAAGAAGTACAGGACACTCTTCATATTGACCCGTTCCTTTCCCGCCAAAATTACTGTTTTCGTCATCCATCGTTAACCGCCCTTAAAGTCACACCAGTTTATTTCATCTTGCCGCGTTTTTATTTTTTTTACCTTCCTTCCATTTCTCCTCAAATTATTATTTTTTTTTTGCGTAGCGCCACCGCCATTTTTTTTATGTCAACATTAACTCAATTACCCCCTCCCCACCCTCAACAAAATCCCTCCCTTTTTAATCTCATTTTCCCTTACTTTTCCTCAGCAGTCTCTTTCTTTCTCTCTGTGTCTCGCTTTCACGGTATCATATCTCTTTTGCTAATCAAGCCAATTCAAGAACACCTATTTTTTTTCCTTTTTGCTACCCAAATGCTAGCCGTCTACCCGAGCAATCAGCTGCTAAATCCAATCTGCGAGTTAGGAACTAAAGAAAATTGGGGAAACTAGGCAAAAAAAAAAAAAAAATGACGCCATTTTTTCGGACATTTTCTTCGTGTTCTTCTTCGTTATATTTTTTGTCCACCATCTTAATTCGGCCAACGATTGTACTTCCGGTTCATTGTTGCACACCGTCCTGCTGCAGAATAATTGAATTAGGACAAAACCATTCTTCTTCTCCTTTTTCTTCTTCTTCTTCTTCTGATTATTATTATTATTATTATTATTATTATTATTATTGAATAGAAAAATAAATAAACAAATATACAAATGAAATAAAGGAAAAAGTAATAATTACTGATTGTCGCTTAAGCAAAATAACTGATTTTTCCTCTATTAAAGTAGTCTAGGTAGTAAAAGTAAGGCCATCGAGCGATTATTTGAAGTTGTAAATATTACAGATACGGCAAAAGCAATAAATAAATAAATAAATAAAACGTACAAAACAATTAGCAATTTGAAACTTACTCGCCGTTATGAACGGCTACTTTCTCTTTCTTCTCCTTCGTTCACCATGTTAGTGCTATTATTTCTATCCCAAGCATTCCATTGTTTACACCACGGTCTCTGGATTATTCTTATGGATCGTGCAACGGCAAGCATTTCTCAATATTCTCGCAGATCTCAGCCCTACAGGAGTCTACATCATCCCATTTCTTCCTCGATTCTTTAATTCATCTAATGTCTATTCTTTAACAACATAAGATACGCGAGTTGACACAGACGCAGAAAGGAAAGATAGAATTCTTGGATAATAGGAAGCAAGAAGAATTAGTATACAAAGAACTATTTGATGTGATTCTGCGCAAAATATAATAATTTGAGGAGGAAGAGGAAGAAAGGAAAAAGTTTCCTCAAGACGAAGTAAACTGGTGTGACTTGGGTGAGGACGAAGGAACTAATTTGGGCGGAAAGAAAACGAGAAAATATAAAATGTATACTGTATTTCTTCAGACATGGAGTAGCGGCTCGGACTGAGGAATCGGAGAGCCGAGTTCGAATTCTAGTCGAATCCATTACATTCACTTACGTGCTAATACACTTGGGAAAGGTATGAATCTCGTCTTCTCCCCCTAGCTATAGGTAAATAGTAGGACCGACCGGGTTCTATAGCCTTGGATGCTAACTGGTCTACCGCAGAAAGAAATTGCAACCTATTGCTGGAAAAAAAAAATCTGCCTCGTCAGTCATGTATCGAAAGATACATGATCGCCTAAGCGTGTATCACGCATGGAACATAAGTTACTGACTGAGTAATACTTCACAAAAACATCCCCGTTTTAAAGTATATATCTAGAAGCCTTAACCAGTCAAATACAGGCTGCAGGGTTGTTTGATAGATTTGAAATGTTTTTTTTTCCATATATTCAGTGGCAAGTCATATTTTACTGTTAATAAATATGTGAAAGTATAGAGTTTATTTTAAGACCAAACTTATACTCTGAGGATGCTTCCAACTTTGTGTCAGCAAATGATATTCTTGATAATGGCTATGGCATTATTTAGACCGATTGACGAATGTGACGTCCCTAGACACAGCCTTCGCTCGCTCCTCGCTGCTTCGTTCGGGTGTCGCCGCTCCAAACGTGACGTCCGCCTGTCGCGTCAGTCGTGTTGTCTCGTCCTGTGACGACCAACTGGCTTGGTATCGGTCGCAGCACCCAAATGTGACGTTCTAACCTTTTGGTGATTCGGATGGGAATCTGGTTAGATTCGATATCAGCCTCGTCGTTCCCAACTCGCTTCCAACATCTGGTTACCAAAGTAACTGCGTTGATCTCGAGTCTGCCTACCCACGTTGTGAATTGATCTTAGGCAGACGAAATCAATCAGTCGTTAGGGCCGTAATGCAAGTTGGGTTCAAGCGAGGGTAGTATCGCACAAATATGTATAAAAGAAATAAAATGATAACTCAAAAGTTCAAGGTATCAAAAAAAAGGATAACAATACTTTATATCTGGTTGCTGGATACATAGGACTGCGTCTATCTCCCGACCCGTTATATGGATTGTGACACGTTGTTTTTTTGTTAGGTGAGTTTTAACACTTTAAGTTGTCTGTTCTTTAAGAAATTGGTTCTTGGTGTGTCTTCAGGCGAAAGTCGAAAAACTTATTTTGGTGGTATGGATCTAAGTGGCTTTTCAAAATAAATTGTTCTTGGATTGAAGACGAGTTCGGAAGTTGCGCGAATCTTAGTCAGCTGCGAGGCCTGCTTCAACTGAACACTCTCCTCTGCTGAACTCTCCGGGAAACTCTCCGGGAAACTCTGCGATTTTGCTTATATGGTCGCCGACCAAAACCGGGGTGCGTTTGTCGGGGCCGGAGGTTCCTCGATAATTCTAAATACATACCCACTTCTTTTATTTTTTGGTTAGGAATTTTCCACTTCTTTCCATATTTAACACAACGTTTCGGCCGTTGTACATTCCAGCCTTCTTCAGGTGGTTGGAATGTCGGACTGAACCCTTTATTTCTCTCACTGGGGTAGACTGTTCTAGTTCCACATGCCATGTTTAATGGATGTCAGTTATCAATTATCTCCTGTTAATTCCCCTCTCCAAGTTCTCCACCGCCTTAACCGGGTATTGAACTCACACTCTTTGGGTCCTGTCACTGTATCTAAGTAACGCATTTATCCACTGTGCCATGTGTCCTTGAGGAAGTGAAGAATTGGAGAGGGGAATTAACAGCAGATAACTGATAACTGACATCCATTAAACATGGCACATGGAACTAGAACAGTCTATCCCAGTGACCGAATTAAAGGGTTCAGTTCCACATTCCAACCACCTGAAGAAGGCCGGAGCGTACAACGGCGAAAATGTTGTGATAAATATGGTGACAAAGATGAAAACAATAGTCCAAATAATGCAAATATTGTACATAATACCTCATCTCAGAAAAATAAACAGATACTGAAGAAGGCCGGAGCGTACAACGGCCGAAACGTTGTAACAAATATGGCGACAAAGATTAGGACAATCGTCCGAATAATGTAAATAGTGTACATAATACCTCATCTCAGAAATATAGACAGATACTGAAGAACGCTGCAGCGTACAACGGCCGAAATGTTATAATAAATATAGCGACAAAGATGAGGACAATAGTCCGAATAATGTAAATAGTGTACATAATACCTCATCTCTGAAATAGAGCCAGATACAGATCATGTTTTGTCTGACGATTTCGTGTTTCCAAAATCTTAAAAGGTGTTTGGAATGGAGGATGGTTTCGAATTAATTGGATATAATAGATTGAGAAGAGAATATTTCAATGGGGAAACGTCGGAATTGTATAAAGACGGTTTAAAGAAATTTTAGAAACAATCAGCCATATGTTGAATTGCTGGATTAATACCTTTCATGGCTGAAGATTACTTCCTTCTTTGTCTTGCCAATAACTCTTCAGCATTTATCTTATCCTTTCACTTGGATTGCCTAAGATCTAATCCGAGGTATGGATAGCGTTACAGTTATCGTGTCAAATTCAAATTCCGGCTTCGCTTGTTAGGTTCACTTTCAGAAAACAAACCCTTTGGAAAGGCATGATTCTATTTCTTCTCCCTTTTGATTATGGATCCAATAGCAGAATAAACTAGGATTTCTAACCTGATGTTGCGACAAGAGATGAGAAAACCTCTAAATTCGAAAACGTAGTGAAGGCCACGGAAATCACTCTGCTGTCTTTCCTAAGAATATTTGTTAATCAACGGATAATGAAGGAAAGCAATCTATGGAGAGATATTGTCGTTAACGTACTGAGGAAGATGTTTAAAAAAACAAAGATCTAATCAAAATTATGAACTGCCAAAAAGGCTGATCACGGTTTTGAATTACCAATGATTTGGCTCAAGATTATGAATTACCAAAGATCGGTTTGGTTTGGATTAGCTTGTTTTACGACATATCAACTTCAATGCGTTATTTAATGCCGACAAGATTTTTATTGCTGGCTATCTATCTATCTATCTATCTATCTATCTATCTATCTGCGTGTTCTTCCTTTCTTCATATCTATCTATCTATCTCTCAATTTTCCCTTTATATCTCTATTTCAAAATATGTTCATAACTGTCTGACTCACTCTCTAAATTTTCGTTAGTGTCTGTTTATATCTATCTATCTATCTATCTATCTATCTATCTATCTCAGTATATATTGGTTTGGTTTGTTTTGTTTCACGGCATATCAACCTCAATGGGTTATTTAATGCCGACAAGATTTTTTTTTGCTGTAATATTTTTTCCAAAAATGGTAATAATTTTTTTTTCATTTTTCAAAAAAAATCCATAGTTGGTAATAATGTATTGCTGGCAATAAATTTTTCTTCAAAAAGTATTGATGGTAATAATTTTCTTATAAACATATTTTTACAATTTCATAGTGTTTTGACCCCAGTTTGTGGGTTAACTATTTGCCCATAGCTGGGACCCTGACAGGTGCCACCATTCCGGGTCAGAGTGGACCTGGGAACACCAGCAAATAAAGAGGTGGTTCCACGCTCCCCAAAACCTCCTGATCAGAGGCCTTGCTATTGGACGTAGTTTATCGTCTAACCCAGGACGCGGATGTAGTTTATCGTCATACCCAGGATGAACCAAAGATCAGATAAATATTTTGAATTGCCAAAAGAACTGATCAAGATTTTGAATTACCAGGGATTTTATCAAGATTTTGAATTACCAAATAACCTGATCAATATTTTGAATTACCACAAATTTAATCAAGATCCAATTCCATATTATAGTTCTGGGTATGACGATAAAATACTTCCGGCAGCAAGACCTCTGTTTCGGAGATTTGTGGTTTTGAGGTGAGTGGAACAACCTCTTGACTACTATTGTTCGCAAGACCATACTGACCCGGGATGGCAGAACTTGTTAGAATCCCAGCAATGGGAAAATAGTGATCCCCAAGCAAAAACAATATGAAAGTATCAAAATACAAGCAGTTCATTTTTATATAAAAATACCAACATTACATATTTATCGTAAAATGACCAATAATACATTTTATAGCAGAATGATTAGTAATACATTTTGTAGCGAAATGAACAACAATATATCTTATGTGTAGTTGGGGGCATACAATCGCAGTCAAAATATATTTAATTTAAGCCGTGAAATAGAGTTCAAAATATTTAGATTTCAGCATTAAATAACCCATGATGCCGCTAAATAAATCAAACAAAAAATTGACATTATCACTCAAATGCCTCTTCAAAAGCCTATCTTTAAAGACTCTTTCAAAAACCTGCCTCAAAAGACTCTTTCAAAAGCCTCTGTCAAAAGCCACTTTCAAAAATCACTATCGAAAGCCTCTTTCAAAAGCCGTTCTCAAAAGCCTCTTTCAAGAGCCTCTTTCAAAAGCCTCTGCCAAAAGCCTCTTTCAAAAACGTCTATCAAATATGTTTTTCAAGAGACTCTCTTAAAAGCCCCTTGCAAAAGCCTCACTCAAAATCCTCTCTCAAAAGCCCCTTTCAAAAACCTCTCTCAAGAGCTTCTTTCAAAAGCCTCTCTTAAAATCCTCTCGCAAAATCCTCTTTCAAAAACATCTTTCAACAGCTTTTTTCAAAAGCCTCTTTCAAAAACCTCTCTCAAAATCCTTTTCAAAAGCCACATTCAAAAGTCCTTTTCAAGAGCCTCTTTCAAAAGCCCCTCTCAAAAGCCTCATTCAAAATGGGTTGTCTTCCAAAGGGTCTTGTCAAATATATCGATTGATATGCACAAGCGTACACCGCATCAGTATACACTGCATAATATTTTAAATGTCTATGTTGCAAAACTAAGAGTTCTGGAATAATAGAGTAACCAATTCAAAATAAGTTGCTTTTGTTTTCGTTCCTTCCATGAACTGTTTAGTATCTGTAAAAGCATGGTTGATGAAGTCTTATTAAAAAGGGAATACATTGTCAGTTACTATCGGCATATTACGATGGCAACTATGACCAAAATCGGCAATGACCAACAAATATCTTTATCAGAATGGCCAGTCCAATAAATCAACATTTTAACTGGATGAACCTTGGGCCTACATCGTGTATGTACGTTCGTCCTTTTTTCTTTTCTTCATCGTTGTGATTTTTTTTCTGTAGTTAGGGGAATACGTTGAGTTCAATCACATGTCCTCTGACATTTCACTGTTGTTAAAGAGGCGAAGAGAAAGTGAGTGTAATTAGAGGAACTCGTGGATTCTCTTATCTTTATTGAGTCTAATTGGCCTCCTGTTCAGGCAATTCTGCGCAGCCGCCATTTTAGCTGGAAATTGCAAGAACCGACATTGCCCACCACTGGTAAAAGTCGCTTGGCGGTCATTTTGCATAAATAGAAGACAAAAACGAAAGGAAAGAAATAAAGATGGCAGGCAGATAAAGAAAAAAAAAAGGAGATAGGTCTCGAGACAAAATGAAATAAAAAGAAAGATAGAAAGAAAGAAAAGTGGGAATGAGAGAAAGTACAGGGTTATTACAAAAAGAAAAGACGCTTCATCGTGAAGTTATGGTGAGAAGGATAGGTTACTTCAAAATTACTAGTGTACTCAATACTTGTGAATTTCTGTTAAAACTAAACTTCGTTCAGTAAATATGTAATGGGAAGAAAGGGAGAAGAAATAAAATGAGAGAAAGAGATAGGGAAAAGAGAGAGAAAAGAAAGAGAGAGAGAAAAATAAAGAGAGAGAGAGCAAGGACTCGTAAGGTAGAAAGTTAGATATGAACACACTAAGATAGATAGATATGAACACCGAGACAGTTAAATAGATAGATTTGATAATACTGTGATAGATAGATAGATAGATAGATAGATAGATAGATAGATAGATAGATATGAACTGTTAAACAGATAGACAGACAGACAGACAGATAGATAGATAGGTAGATAGATAGATAGATAGATAATGAACTGTTAAACATATAGATAGATAGATAGATAGATAGATAGATAGATAGATAGATAGATAGATAGATATGAACACCGAGATAGCTAAATAGATAGATTTGATCATACTGTGTAGATACATATAGAGATATACATGAACAGTTAAAGAGATAGATAGATAGATAGATAGATAGATAGATAGATAGATAGATAGATAGATAGATAGATAGATAGATAGATCAGTTAAAGAGACAGACAATCAGAAATATGAAAATGAGCCTGTATGTGAACCGGGAGAAAACGAAAAAAAAATGTGGGAGAAAGTTAGGTTTTTATTGATAGATAAGTTTTTGTTACGGCTTATCAACCTTAAAGTTATTTAAAGCCTAAAAATATTTTTGATTATAAGAATATTTTTGAGATAATAACAATTTACTTAAATAAGTTCAAACATTTAACCCATAACTGTGGGAGAAGTAGTGAATTTATGACTTTCCCAATGTTAAGTGAATATAATTATCCCAACCGGAATCGGAACTCGGCTTTCCAGTTTTTCGCACTTCTCGCCTGTGGAATACACTTCCGATTTCTTTGACACGAACAATCTTCAAAAATTTAAACTAATCTTGCCTTCCTAAATCATGTTCTTTTATTGTCCTTTTTACCCACTAATGTTTTCTTTCTTTTTCACTCTCAGTAACCCATGGCGTTTAAATCTCTTTATTATCTTGCATGGCATTAAATGATTGATAAAGTTATTCATCAGACTTAGACGCCACTTAGAACCGCAAATTTGTGGAACAGACTCCCGAGGGGGTAATTCCCGAGGCAATCCAATCGAAACTTCGAGTCGCGAATGTATCTATCCTACATATACTTATAATCTGCACGTACTACCTCCTCTTACATCCATACAACAACCTCATTCAGGAATCCTCTACATTGAGTGATACTCGGGTCTTGTATTTGGTGAACATTTATTTTTGAAAATACTCTGGAAAAGAGATGTATAAATGTCTGTAGGAAAAATGAAAATCATAGAAATGGAATAGGCACCTCCACTTTTTCGCGGGAAAACAGCATAGCAAAATGAAAAAGGCCATGAACCTTAAGAAATCGAAATTAAATTTGACATTACAATCTATATGATTTCTCTCTAAAATACACCAGAATATTTTACTTACTGGAAATAATAAATTTAATCATTTAGCTTTCGATTAAAGCTAAAATGAAATCTTCAAGAATGTTTGTTTCATTTTATAAAAAAAGTCATTTTAAACTTTGGGTATCGAAAATTTATGCCTAAATAGTGGAGGATACCTAAAATGGAGTATCGACTGTTATCTTGTGTTTCTTTAATCCCTACACTTTATTTTTCCCTCACCTTAATAATGTGTCTTTGTTTTTCTTTTCTCATATTCTTTCACACTCAATGTTCATTTGCGTCTTAGTGGCTTTATTGCCTGGCTTGGAATTAAATGATTAAAAAAAAAAAAGAATTTCCAGACAGATAACTCAGGTCCTGAAGTGACAAGGAATATAAAGGGGTTTTTAGCCTGAAGGATGAACTCAGGGAACGTTTAGATCAAGACAACAAGGAAGGAGATATTAGTTTGAAAACTCCACAGTACAGAATGAAAGGGTTAAAAACGTGTAAGTAAACAAAAAAAATTACACTGGGTACTGTTTATTTTCTTTCTTTCTTTCTTTCTTTCTTTCTTTCTTTCTTCTTCTCCTCCTCCTCCTCCTCCTCATTCTCCTCCTTTCTGTACTAATAAGTAAAGAAAAACATACACTGCGTACTGTTTATTTCATTTATTTTTCTTTTTTCTTCTTTTTCTTTTTCTTCGTTTCGCTTCTTCTCCTCTGCCTCCTTTCTATAATACTGAGTAAAGAAAAAACATACACTACTTATTCTTTATTTTATTTCTTCTTCTTTTCTTCTTCTTCTTCTTTTTTCATTCTTTTTATTTCTTTTTTTTTTATTTCTTGCATATCTAAGTCGCCATGGACATAACACTGGCAAAATTTTAACACGAGAGCGGTTTATTTAACTGTGATATAAAAGTAAATACCCTATTTATCAGGCTATTATGTGGGATAGATATTTTTTCAAGTTTAAAAATATTGAATTGTGTCACGCCATTTACGATAACAGACGTTCTAGAAGAGAATAGAATAAAGAGAAGATTTAACTCGTGTTATCTTGGATAGGTCTTATTTGTTGTCATGGAAACTTCCTAATTATCCCTTCAACCTAGCCTTATCAGTCGACGTGGCCGTTTTTCAAATCAAAATCTTTGCTTCTTTTTCTCTCCTTTCCCATCAAGCCTTTAAATTATTCCAATCAATTTTTATCGACACATATAGGCCATGTCACCGGCGGCCATTTGTCGTCTGTTAAACAAAATGAACATTTATTATTTTCTTTCTTTCTTTTCTTTTCTTTTCAGTACTTTACTTTACTTTACTTTACTTTACTTTTCTTTTCTTTTCTTTTCTTTTCTTTTCTTTTCTTTTCTTTTCTTTCTTTCTTTCTTTCTTTCTTTCTTCCACAAGCCTTTCATTACTTATTTGTTCCACCATATTTTCTTTATTCCTTTCTTTCTTTATTTTTGTCTATACTTTCATTCCCTCTCCTTTTTCTTTGCTCCTCTACTCTTCTTCTCATTCTTCTTTCTTTTTTCTTTCTTCCTCTAGTCTTTCATTACTTCTTTTCTTTCTTTTAATTCTGATTCATTCATGCCGATTTTTTTTTGTTGCCTTCCCCGGTCTTCAATTCTTTCTATGTTTTAATTATCTTTTCTTTTTCTTTCTCGCCTTCTTTTTCTTTCATCTTTTCTTTTGTCATTCTTTTTATTAGTTTTAATTTCTGTTTCTTATCTCTATCCATTTTTCATTTACCTTTCCTTCTTTTTCTTTATTTTCTCATCTGTCCTTTCTGTTTTTCTTTCTTTCTATTTTAATTCCCCCCCACTTCAACGCATCTTATTCTTCTTACTGCACTTCCTTCTTCTTCTACTTGCCCATTTTCACTTTCTCATCTTTCTTTACCTTTCATTCTTTTTGCTTAGTTTTCCATACTTCTTTTCTCCTTCCTGCCATTCCTTCGGCTACTTAATTTTTCTTTCTTCTTTATCTTTCTCATTTTTTTGTTTAATACTTCTTCAATTTCCTTTTTATATTTCTTTTCTTTCTTCATCTCCTATTTCTTGTCTCTCTTCCTCTTCTACATTCGTTTTCTCTCTCCTTTTCTCCTTCATTCTTCTTCTTCTTCTTCTTCTCCCTTCCCTCCTCCTCCTCCTTTTCATTCTCCTCCTTCTTCTTCCTATTAACCTACTCCCTCTTCCCTCTTCCTCCTTCTTCTACCTATTCTCCTCCCTCCTCCTCCTTCTTCGTCTCTTCCTTTTCGTTCTCCTCCTCCCCTCTTCTTCTTCTTCTTCTTCTTTTTCTTCCTCATCTTCTTCTCCTTCTTCTTCTTCTTCTTCTTCTTCTTATTATTATTATTCTCCTGTCCCTTCCACCTCCTCCTCCTCCTTCTTCTCATTGTCCTCCTCCTTCTTCCTATTCACCTACCCCCTTCCCTCATTCTCCTTCTTCGTCTTCTCATCCTCCCCCTTCCCTACCCTCCTTCTTCTTCATCTCTT